AAAACCTCAAAAAACAAATATATATATATATATATATATATATATATATATATATATATATATATATATATTGCATTCTCCAGAAATTCTGCATTTTCAAGCGATGCAACCTTTCTAATAGGCTTAGTGATGAGGAATTCCATACAATCAAATACATGAAATGCCATAGCAGATGATAAAAGGAGTATTAACCCTCTGGCGGTTGCTGTTTTCATGTAGCTATATTTCTTGCTGTCTTTTAATCAAACCTCAATTTCCCCAAAGTTAGCAAGAAATCTTTCTAAGTTTTCCTATTTTATTGCTGAAGGAATTTTTGTTTTAAATAAGCAATAAGCAACTAAATGAAATCTGAACAGAGTAACTCATAGCTCACAACCAAAAGTTTCAAGGTTCCTATTGAGGGTGTTCTAGACGTGAGGGTGTCTGCTTCTCTATTGTTCATATACTTTTTTTTTATCTCCTTTTCAGTACTTCTGGATGTTGCTACTTACACGAGGCCTAGTGGGTGTGGGAGAGGCTAGCTATTCAACTATTGCCCCCACCATTATTGCTGACCTGTACTTGGGTGACCGGAGATCCCGCATGCTTAGCATCTTCTACTTTGCTATACCTGTAGGCAGGTGGGAACATCCTGTGCTCTGTATTTGGAGGGAGGGTGAAAAGATGGGTTTTTTAACCAGAGATCTTTGTTGAAAATGAAAAACCAACATTACATTATACAGCTTGCATATCCATATCTTGAAAGACTAATTTTGACTTCAGCTGATAAAGTGTTGACTAGCTTTGGTGGAAGTTGGAAAACCTGCCAGAGTATAGATTTGAATGCTCTCCTGATTTTCTTCTACAGTGGACTGGGCTATATTGTAGGATCAAAAGTGAAAGATGTGGCTGATGACTGGCACTGGGCCTTGCGGGTAAGTAGAATTTATAGCTACCTTAGTCAATATTGGTTGCTGTACATCTATGTTAAAGCTCTTTTTAAAATTAATTCTGAAACTTCTTTTTACCCAAAGTTAAATAGCAGTCTTTCACATATATTTTTTTCTTTTTAGAATGTTTCAAACTGGATTTTTAAAATTATGTTCCCCACAGGTGACCCCAGGTTTGGGAGCATTAGCTTTGATATTATTGATAACTGTGGTGCGTGAACCACCTCGAGGAGCTGTGGAGACCCGCACTGATGCCCCTCTTCATTACACTTCATGGACAGCTGATTTGAGAGCCCTGAGCCACAAGTGAGTCATGTGACAAAGAGATCTTGCTTCTCTGTTTTTTCCTGAATTATCTTCTAGCCCTCATTTTAATAGTTCCAGTTCAGTTCAAATACTCATAGTAAATGACAGTAAGAAACAAGCTTTTATTTTGTAACCTCCAGGATAGCCAGAAGTGACATGAAATTTTGTCCCTCCAAGTGAAAGGGCTAGTGGAAAGGACTGGATCACCAACATTCCTCTGGGAAACCATTTGGTTTGTATGCTTTTGAAGAAAAGGAGTTCACTACTCAGTATGAAATTCATAGGGCTGACAGAAAACAGCAGATTGCTATACTCCACTGGTAGTCTTGGTAGGAGACTTCTACAAAAAGTCCGGCTAAGGAATAGGCATCTGTGTGTAGGTGTAGAAAATTTGACTTCTCCTTTTTGTAGCTACCAGGGAAATGCTGACTACTTCATTGTAGTGGTAAAGGTGCTGGCCTAGAAACCAGGAGATTGTTAGTTTAAGGCCTCCCTTAGCCATGAAAGCCTTCTAGGTAATTTCAGACCAGTCACTTGGATCAGCTCCTTTCACGGGGTTGTTTTGGAGTAAATAGGCAGGAGTAAAAGATATGTTCACTACCTTGAGTTATACAAAAAAAAATATGTATATGAAATAGAATAATATCAGGGAAGTGCTGACTGCTGTAGAAGGCTAGTTATTTGTGTGGTTACTTTTGCAGAATAGTATTTTTGATGTTTTATTTATCAGCATGAAGGTAAAGAGATTGTTAGCAGATTTGTGAATTTGTTCAAGCCAATCTTGACAGACACAATTGCCGAAGAAGTTGTAAGAGATGTTGGGTGTGATGTAGAGTATCATTTGAGTTCTGACAGACCTGGTCAGTTCTCTCTGTAAGCCATGAAATGTACCCCTAAATCCTCTGCAATGAAACTAGGAGAGCAAGTCAAAATGGAAATTGTTCTTTCAAGAAAAGACTCTTCAAAATGTTCTTGCCTTAGTTCTTGGTTTATAGTTTAAAACCTTGGGTTAAATGTCCCCAGCCGGATATTTTTCTAAGAAATGAGCTATGTTAATATGTCTGCTAAACTATTTTTGTTTAACCATGATATGTAAATAAAGCACAATTGACTGGGTCCCTAAAACAAGCCATATTTTGGCTTAGCAGTTTCAGATTTATTCAATAACTGACTAAACTTAATAAACTTACTAAAAAGCCCTGGTATAGCAGGAAGCATCTGGGTTCATAGTGTTCTTTTAAATAGCCTAATGTAGCACTTTGATGGAGGTAGGGGGTTTGTTTGTCTCTAATGAGTTTGTATAGGTAGCATTGCAGGAGGGAGAGAGGGAGGGAGGGAGAGAGAGAGAGAGAGAGAGACAGACAGAGAGATGCCAGAGTCAGAAATGTTCGCTTATAAGTCCTTTGCAGTTAGATACTGCTTCTCAGCCTTGTGCTACTCACATAGCCAGTTGATTACTCATGGCCTAAGATAGTGCTTTCCAAACCTGGGTAAATTACCCAAAATTGGGTAAAATTGATTTCTATTTAGGTAAGGACAGATGAATCAATTACCCATCACAACAGGGACATTTAAATTGACTTAAAATTGCCATATTTATTAAACTATATTTGGAAAATCTCCCAAAGTATTCCTATTGAAATGAAAATTAATTAAATTACCAGGGATACTTTGTTGAAATATCATAAAGATTATTCAATGATATAGTTTTTCTGGAGTTCTGCTGCACTGATGTTACCTACTTGGGTAATGAAATGTCTGCAAGGGAACAACCAAGCTCAAAGAACACCAGGCACTCCACAATCCAACCCTAAGCTACATATGTTGTCTTCTATTGATAAAGATTTTACATTACAGATAGTCCTCCACTATTCATTCAGCAACCATTTCAAATTACAGTGGTGCTGAATGGACTTAAAACTGGTCCTTGAATTTCAATAAGACTTTCTAAATCAGGGGTTTTCAAACTTGGCCCTTTTATGACTTGTGGACTTCAACTCCCAGAATTCCTCAGCCAGCATGCCTGGCTGAGGAATTCTGGGAATTGAAGTCCACAAGTCATAAAAGTCCACAAGTCATAAAAGGACCCCCGTTCTAAGTGGTATTGGGTAATGAAGGAAAAAGTTTGGGAAATACTGGTCTAAGACATATACCATCAGAAAAGTACCATAGATGAGCTCTAATATGTATACAGATTATGTCTATAGTCATTTTTTGGACAACTTGTGACTCAGTTGTACATCATTACTTAGGAACACATGGAAGTATTCTGTTTTGATGACAGATCTCTGATGGCTCAGATCTGTTATCGCTGGCTTCTGACAATCTAGAAAGCTATAATACATGCTGACATTATTACTTTGTTTCTTTCTGTCCCCTGACTGGCAGCCGTAGCTTTGTGTTGTCATCACTAGGATTCACAGCTGTGGCATTTGTAACAGGCTCTCTAGCATTGTGGGCACCTGCATTCCTGTACCGCTCACGGTTGGCCGCCGGAAATCTCCCACCTTGCCCTAGTGGTAAGGTTTGTCATGGAGACTCTGACAGGTGAGTTAACACTGGGAACTGTCTTGTGTCTTGATTTCTGGTTTATTTTATTTTATTGGTCTCTTTTTTGAGGAACATTATGACAACTCATTTCCGAGCTAAATACTTTGTATGGCTTTTGAAAAGATTCCAACACGCTGATTGTTTACTCATTTTGAACCATTTCTGAAGAGCCTCATCAGGCCGTATGTAATTATCTCTGTAGCCTCATCTTTGGTATTATCACTTGTGTGACTGGTGTCCTGGGTGTTACTGCTGGAGTGGAGATTTCAAGACGGTGGCAGCGCATCAATCCCCGTGCTGATCCCCTGGTGTGTGCCATTGGACTGCTTGGGTCTGCCCCCTTTCTGTTCCTGGCTGTCGTCTTTGCTCAGCAGAGCATTGTTGCCACTTATGTGAGTTTCTCAAGTTTCTCCTTAATTTTAGTATAATTATTGGGGGGATGGGAAAGGGTATTTCTATGTATGGCACTACATGAAAAATAGTATAGCTTTTTAAGATATAATGAAATGATTTTTCTTCATTCTTCCTTGTAGGTATTTATTTTTATTGGTGAAACTCTCCTTTCCCTCAACTGGGCCATAGTGGCAGACATCCTTCTGGTGAGATCTGGGAAGGGAAAACATGAACATTGGCTCAACAAATAGGATCTGAGACTTGGACATTAATAGCAGGAATGCAGGCCTTTTAAGTAGAAATAGAGAAACAATTAGCAGGAGAATTATATCACTAGGGTAATAACTGTTTTACCCTACACCAGGGGTCCTCAACCTTGGCGACTTTAAGACTTGTGCTCAGCCAGCAAAGCTGGCTGAGGAATTCTGGGAGTTGAAGTCCACAAGTCTTAAAGTCGCCAAGGTTGAGGACCCCTGCCCTACACGACCTTTGATTGCTCATGTGATCAATGTCTGATATTTTTTCCCTTTTCCCTAGATAATGTTGCAGATAGGTTCCTCACTGTATCTGTGTTTGTTTAATTGCCTCATACCTTCATAGCAGCAGCACCAATCCCATCTAGCCACCTTTCTTGGCTTTCCCCCTTTCTGACAACAAGTAGTAGGGCTTTGTGCTTCAAGCCTGTAGAATTGAACTCCCTGCTCCTCCTTTATTTATTTATTAAATTTATTTGCTATCCATCTCGCCATGGAGCTACTTTGGGTAGCTTAGAACAATAAAATGGAAAAAAAGATATAAAGAATTGTAGCCTTATCCTGCAGTCACTTGATATTTCTTGACAAAGGGTATCAAATGAAATATCCCCTTTTCTTTTTGCAGTATGTTGTCATCCCTACTCGCCGTTCCACAGCTGAAGCTTTTCAGATTCTGTTGTCCCATCTTCTGGGTGATGCAGGGAGCCCTTATCTTATTGGTTTGGTAAGCATTTGGAATATAAGGCTTAGGCTGTCATATTCTGGAGTTGTAGAACTGATGTTCCTGCCATCTGTTCCACCTCCTAAGCAACTTCTCTCTTTTTTTTCTGTTCTTCCACCCAATTAGAACCAGATCAAAGCAGTTCACAAAACCTCTTGGAGCTGCCTGGATTCCAGGTTCTCCTTGTAATTTTTTCAAACTAAAATGTTCCAGCACAGCCTTTTGCATTGTAATTTTCTTAAGACTGTAACATCCCTGCAGATGCTGAGCTTTGGAACTGGAATTAATAGATATGATTAAAGCAGGGCACTGCTTTAAAACTATGGTTTTGTTCTTGAGACAGTGTAGATTCCATATCCATTTTTGTTTAGAGATATCTAACAGGGTTAATTGAAAGCTTGTGGGGAACTACTATTCCAGATTTATGTTTACTTCTGTTCTGCATGCAATGGGCTGCTATTGTTCAGATTCAGTAGCTGAATTTCATGAAAAACCAATGTCACATTTTCTGTTGCAAAAGAAAAATAAACCATGGTGTGTGCCTATTTTGCTATTTATTTCAGGTGGGATGAAATAGCAAGAGAAGCAATAAATAACAGTATCCAATTCTGAAGGCTTTCCTTTGGGAAATTACCTAATAGATTGCATGATTATTGTTTAATTTTTTTCATAGATTAGTGACCGAATCCAGAGCGATCGCCCCATTTCATTGCTGTCACAGTTCCGAAGCCTGGAATATGCACTTATGGTCTGCAGCTTTGTGGGCGTTATCGGTGGGGGTTTCTTCCTAGCTACAGCTTGCTTCATTCAGGCAGATCGTAAACGGACAGAGCTATATGCACACGGTAAAACTTTTTTTCCTCTGCCAGCTCTGCCGAGTTGGAATTAATGCCTCAAGAATTCACAATGTGTCTGAATTCAGAGCTGTGTTACAAAAAAAACACATGCTGCTAGCAGAACAGAGGTGTACACCCTTTGGCTTTATTGTCTTCTACTACACATAAAGGAGGCAGTGCTAGGAGTGCAAAAAAGAATCATCTATCCTGAAATGTCGAGTGTTTGAGAACATTTTCAATGTGGGTTCCTCAGAAGATAGTCACTGGCATTGAACTGTTAACTGAAAGCATTCTTGACCTCAGATGTTTCCCGGATGCTCCTAAACCATGTTTTCCTCAAAATCTTTAAAGCACTGAATCACACAAATAAGTTTTCTTTCTCTTTTTCAGCCCTGACTTAAAGCTTACTTCCCTATTTTATACTTTGTCCTTTTCTTTTCTTTCCCCCCCTTCTTTCTCTTTTTTGTTTCTTTCCTTTTTTTCTTGAAAATATTGAAAGAAAGAGGGGAGAAAATAACTCACCTCAATTGCTTCTACTTGCAACCATTGAAGCAGTAGTTCCAGAGCAAGAGTAATGCCAGCGTACTCAGAATTGCTCTACAGATAGTTCTTGACTTATGACCAGAATTGGGACTAGAATTTTCTTTGCTAAGCAAGGTGGTTAAGTGAATCATATCCAATTTTACCACAATTTTTTCTTGTGGTTAAGTGAATCATTGCAGTTGTTAATTGAATCATAGGATCATTAAGCAAATCTGGCTTCCCCATTGACTTTGTTTGTCAGAAGAAGGATGGGAAGGTCACAAATAGTGATCACATGACCCTTGGGACTCTTATTTATCTTATTTAGTATATGGCAACCTGGGACCCTCCAGCTGTTGTAAATGCCAAGTGTCTGAATTTTGATCATGTGAAGATGCTGAGGACCAGTGTGAGGTCCTCAGCATCATCCTTGTAAGTGTGAGGACCAGTCATAAGTCTCTTTTTTTAGTTCCTTTGTAAGGTTTGAATAGTTGATTGAATGGTTGTAAATTGAGGACTACCTGTATATGCCAAAATGTAATTGTGAAGGAAATAAGGGAAGTACAACTAAGGCAATATCACTAAGAAAACAGCACTGAAAATTAGGAAAGAGAGCTCAGATATATGACACACTCTTTTCAAAATCTTGTCCTCTTTGGACAAGGCCAGCCCCTTTGAAGGCAGACCTTAATGTGCTTCTTTCCTCACTGCAGGTCAGCTGCAAGAATCTTTGGAAGGGGAGGACCGCATTGTTGTTCCTCAGCATGGGCGATCAACAAAAGTTCCTGTCTCCAGTGTCCTTATCTGAAGTCTCATCTTCATCCTGCTTCAGTTTTGGAACAGATTTGTATTTGGTAGTTGAGTAGACAGAGACAGAGAGACTCTCTTAAAGGCACCAAGGCAGGATTATGGACAACAGGAAATGAAATCATAATTTTTTGCTGTGTACATAGGACTTTTTTTATAAATCACAAACACTATTCACGCTTTTCAGATGAATGAGGATGAAATGGCAAAAACTCATCTCCTACTTCCTTTTACTTGGATGGTTTTATTTTTATTTCATTCATTTTTTTTCCTGCAATGTGAAATTCAAAGCAACATGTAAAGGGTATAGAAAAAAATGGCTGAAAAGATCAGTCTTCAATAGCCTTGGGTTTTAAGAAAAACGGAATCTTCCAGCCCACATCTGTGTTTTCATACAAAGGCTTTTATTTGTAGTCTCGCTGTCTTCATATATTTTTGCAGAATGTCTGGATGGTACCTCCATTTTTACAGTCCTCTGAAATATCCTGATAGGAGCTGACTATCTAGATGCCCCCCCTTTTTTTTTTCAGGAGAAAACCAGTATTCATGACAAGGTCAGTGTTAGGAGGGACCCTTAAAAAAGATGTGTCAGTTATACTTGACTTGAGGAGCTAAAAAGGTTTGCATCTCTATTAAGAAGTCATTGTCAACTTCTGAAGTATGAAAACCTGCATGAAAAAACGTTGCATAAATGATTGTAGCCTCAGACTCCGATTTAATATTTTTGTTCCTAACATTGTTGCTGTTGGACATTGGCATGAAGATGGGCAAGGTTTGGATGATTGATACCTTGTTTTGTACAACCAAGTGTTGTTTACTGCCATGATCCATGGAGGAACTACCTGTGATGACTAGCTTCAGCTCCCTTTCCTATTTTTCAATGCTTACTGTTGTATGTTACTCGCGGTTCTACTAGCATCTGGCTTCTGCTCCTGGCATTAAGTGGAGCAGTTTGTTTGTTTCATTTGAAGTGCTTGTAACGTCGCTAGCTGTATTTTGTCTTTACCTTGAAGAGAAGAAAACAGGCTTCCTGCAGAGACATCTGTGAAAGACAGTGGTTGCACTTTAGCTATAAATGGGTTTTTATTAATTTGTAATTTAAATGGATTAGAACCATTACAGTCAATTATGGGTTCATTTCAGTATGATTCAATGTAAAATCAAATGTAGAAAAATGAGTTGTAATTGAAACTAATTTTTCCTGGCCAGATATCTTACAAATATTTTGAATTAAGCTCAACCCCCAGCTGTACTGACTGGTTATTATGGTAGAACAATAACATTAAGATCACTAATGCGGCAAGTCTCTCTTAAGCTGATGGGGAAATGTTACAGTCTGCAGCTTGTGTATTTTGGCCTACAGATTTCATTCATTTTTAGTTCTTTTGCCTGTATTTCTTCATTCATCTGAAAAAAGTGGGCTTTGGCTTGTGCCACAATAAATTAATTCGATTTTGAAATCTTTTGAGGAGCTGTTATTAATTTACATTAGAGGTTTCTTTTTCTCAGATATCAAAGGTGGGAACTTTTAGATGAGGCAACTTTTTTAACAACACGGGATCTGCAAATTCTTCAAGACAAAACCGTATAGAATTTCATTATCTGATACCAAATCTAAAAATTATATGATTATGTACTTTCACTGGTTTAGTTTGTAAAGCAGATCTTTGGAGTAGAAAAGCATGATTGGAATACACTATGTGGAGGCAATATCTGCTGAAACTATAGCAGGATATTGTCCCTCCCTTAGGCAACCTAAATAGAAAACCAAGAGAGATTAGCAACATAGTTTAAGCATTCAATAGCAATAGCAATAGCAGTTAAACCTATATGCCGCTTCACAGTGCTTTACAGCCCTCTCTACGTGGTTTACAGAGTCAGCATATTTCCCCCAACAATCTGAGTCCTCATTTTACCAACCTTGGAAGAATGGAAGGCTGAGTCAACCTTGAGCGGGTCAAGATTGAACTGCATTTTAACCATTGAGCTATCAGGGCTCAGGTCCAAAATCGTATCTTCCTTAATGCAGATTTTGGTATAATGTTTGACCTGTTAATCATTTACCACTTTTGAACTTTTTTCAGTTTGGATGCTGTCTTGACTTTCCTTTAATGTCTTCTTGAGTTTAAAAGTCAATGTTGGTTTTACAGATTAGTAGTTGTGGATGCTTGGTGAATCTTTTACCTGAACCATGATCATCATGGCTTGCTGTTTTGAATTTCAGGTGGGGTGGGAGGAAAGGGAAAAGCACAGAATGACGACTAGATAGCTCCTACAAGATTGGTGCAGAAATAGGAGGATACGATTAGTAAGAATGTTTCTGGATTTGCAGTTTGGTGTTGTGTGGTACAAGTAAGAAACAGCATAGTGTTTCACTCCTGGTAAGTACAACATTTTTCACTGAGCTCACTAATACATAAAGTCTTATGAAACAGACTCTGCTGTTTGCAGACTTTACATACAGTAATCAGAACTGCTTAGCACTTTTCCTGGACTGAACCATTTTTGGATATTTGGGGAGGAGGTGCATGCTGAAAAGTTATTATATATGTAGCATAATTCCAGATTAAAATAAGACAAAGACAACCTTTCTAAGAATTTAAAAAGATGTGATAGAAAATTCTTGGGTCTATTCCATCTTCATAAGAAATGAATGACACTCTTTAAAAAAAAGATGGATAGTATGGAGAAAGTCTTTTATAATTCAAAAATAAGCAATGATAAGAGAGAATATAATTTTCTTCCTCTGCATTGGGGTTTTTTCATGCAAAGAACAGACTTACTATAACTACTTTATATACATAAGTAAGATATATGTATTAATAGAACATATGAAGCTGCTTTATATCACATTTACTTTGACTGTTGTGTGTTGTCTTGATTTTACTGTATATCAGAAGATATTTTTTTTGAAATATGTAATATTTTCTCCTCTTCCACTGTCCAAAATGATACATTCCAGGAAACCTACTTAGAATTTAATTCTTCTGATCATATAACCTTGGCCTTTGTTCTTACAATTATACCTTGATAAAACGGTTTTTGTATTCATGTATAATCTGTGTCTAATGTATTTTGCCTGTATATTCTTTATGGGATAGGCTCCTATCTGAATATTTTTCAAATAACTTTGTGTCCACTGCTGCTTTTATCATTGCTATCTTATACAGAGAGGTCCAGAATCTTGTTTGAAAACCTGCTTATTTTGTCCATCCAGTTTAAAATCTTATTGAAGCAGGAAGAAAAGCAAGAGTTCAAAGAACGCATTTCAGGTTTCTGTTGAAAAATTTTCCCTTATTTTGAAAATGAAAGGTTTATCACTTTTGATGGTTTAAGTCCACAAAATTTGTTAATTCACAAAAAGAATACCCTTCTTTAAAAAAATTTTTAATTTTGTCTTTTAAATAAATTTTTATATTGGGCAGGGGTCTGGTGTAGAGATTTACGTCTATAAAAATATCTTTATATCCAAAACATACTTATCCGCGGAAAAACAAAACTCCTGAGAAAGAAAAAGAGTAGGAGGGTGGCATTACAAATTTATCACATATAAATTGTTATCTAAGCCTACAAGTGGGGTTTTTTGGAAAGTACAGTAAAACTTCCCCACCCCTGATAAGTATCTGCCATCTGAATTATGATCAAGTGAGCAATTTAGGACTTCCTAGGAAATTGGTGACTGGGATGAAATAAGTCTTGAAATATACCCATGCTGTGTATATTCCTAAAACTTCTGAATATGGTATTATTTGTGATTCCTCGTGCTCCCCCCCCCCCCCCCACGTCGTGCTTTAGTGCCTCTGCCTTTGACTTCCTGCTGGTGGCTGTAGTACTTCCTTCCTGCCGGAACGATCAAACAGCACATCATCTCTGCTTCAGCAGACAAGCCTTCATCCAGATGTGGAAATAGAGACCCTAGATGTGAGTTTGCACAAGGGGGAATTGAGAAAGGGTTGGAACGGGGTGGAACAGCTGCTGCCATAGTTGTGTCCATTACATTTTCTGTGATACTAAACTAATTTCTTGGATTGTTCTTGAGAAAGCAGTAGAATCTCACAAATTGAAGCTTACAAAATGAACTAGGGCTATGAGGTAAGAAAGTGGAAACAGCAGAGGAAATTATAAAGCAACATACTGTAGGACAGAATGGGGGGAAATGGGTTGTGTTTTTCCCCTGTGTGTTTCCCTACTACTTTCTCTTTTGATACTGTCTTTTTTTCCTACCTTGATATCTCATATGCTTCCTTAATTCTCTTAATCTGGTCAAAGTTTGAAAGTTGGGATATGACAGGCTGTGTTAGTTAAAGGAGAGTTTGAAATAAATGAAAGGGGGTAGGTTTCCTTGTTATCTTTCCTATATTATGATTCTTCCTAGTTCCAACTAATAAGCCCTCTTTGCAATGCCGATGATGGTCTCAGAATGGATCCCTAAGATTATAGCTGTCTTTATCTGATGCCAGAGCTCCAGCCAAGTGCATTAAAAGCCTGAGGATTGAACAGGTGTTTTAAAGTACAGCACTGTGGAGCAGCACTGCTTTCTACTTCGAATATCTTCTGTCCCCCCCTCCACCCTCCCTTTTCTCAATTCCAAATACTGAGCTCTCCCTTTTGATTAGATTGCCTGTGCTGCTTTTAAAATTTTTTCCCAAGTAAGGCTATCTGATCTTGCAGCTGCAAGGCTGTAACAGCAATCTCTCCCACGACAGCCACAGAACTCTGCAAGACTGATTTTGCAGGCACCCAGATCCGGTGTTGGTTCAATGTTACTGATGTGACTCATCTCTGTGCCCATACTTTTTTTAATGTTGAAATGAATAGGGAGTATAGAGATCCCTTCTAAACAAATAAGAAGCTCTGGCTTCTTCCCGGTTTTTTTTTTAAATCTATGTGAGATAGGTCAGAATATCTACAAGGCACAGTTATTTTAGCATAACTCAATAATAAGTTCTAGTCTTCCCCTGCAGGCTGTTTCTTTGCCTGTATCTGGCTGACATGCATCTTGCAAACCTCAAGATACTTTATCTCCCTTCCCTCTTTGCTTGCTCTTGTCTGTTTCCCTCAAGTCATGTTCCTGATTCCCTACATCTTCTGCATCTTGTTGTCTTCCAATTGTATTGACATGTAGCTACATGTAGTCCTCGACTTATAACCCCAATTGAGCTCAAAATTTATGTTGCCAAGTAAAACATTTGTTGTGAGTTTTGCCCCATTTTACGACTTTTCTTGCCACATTTGTTAAGTGAATCACTCAGTTGTTAACTTAATAACACGGTTGTTAAGTGAATCTGGCTTCCTCATTGACTTTGCTTGTCAGAAAGTCGCAAAAGGGATTCACATGATACCGAGACACTGCAACCGTCATAAATATGAATCGGTTGCCAAATCCTGAATTTTGATAATGTGATCATGGAGATGCTGCAGTGGTCATAAGTGTGAAAAACAGTCATAAGTCCCTTTTGAGTGCTGTTGTAACTGAACAGTCACTACACGAACTGTTCTAAGTTGAGGACTACCTGAATTGCTGTTCCCACCAGCCGGGGTTAATTTAGAGGATGTCAGATTTTAGAAAGCTAAAAATTATCTGGGATTTTGTTCAGGAGCTTCTACCTTTCGAGCTTTTTATTTTGACCCCAAATATTGCATCAGTTCATTATTACAGGGAGTACTAATTCAATAGCAGAGCCCACAAAAGATTTTAGAGTCCATCCTTAGTTTCTCCAGTAGAAAATATTTGACGCTTGATGATGCCAAAAATTCTAGAAAATAAGAGCAATCAAATGGAGGAACCAAGTGTTTAGGAGTTTGTTTCTAAATTCTGGTTAGGCCTAATCAAATATAAGCAATTTTGACCATCCATACCAGGATCTGACCTTAGCATGAGTTCATATAGTGTAAGTTAAAAACCTAACCTTAAAAACCTTAAAAGCATGGTTAAGTGTAATTTTAATGTATGTTTTGGTTTAGTAAGTTGTGTGAACTCACCTTGGAATGTCTGCCCTATTGATTGTGTGCTTTTCCCATCATAATGCGTTGCGGCCACTAAATCAGCCTTCCCACCACCACATGTTCCCTAAAGGTATTAGGCATCCAGTTCCCAGAACTCTGAACCAGCCTAGCCAGAAAGAGAGAGCCAGTGGCATTAGTGGTTAAGGCAGTGTTTTTCAATGTTGACAACTTTAAAATGTTTGGACTTCAATTCCCAGAATTCCCTAGCCAGCCACATTGGATTAAGCTATTAAACATGAACCTCTTTTCTAGTTCCTTTTCACCCTAAAAATTTCATGGGCCAGTCATAGAATGTAATGAAAGGAAATACCATAGACATCATCTAGTCAAGGGGTTTTTGATTTTTTAACCCATGAAACCTATTAAAAAAACTAACTTTCTTTTACTTCTAAGAATTCTGATCTTCAGTCCCTTCAAAAAAAAGGTCTTAAAACTTGATTTTTAAAAAAAAATT